CTGCCTCAGCCTCCCAAGTAGCTGAGATTACAGGCGCTTGCCACCATGCCTCGCTAATTTTTTGTATTTTTAATAGCAATGGGGTTTCACCATGTTAGCCAGAATGGTCTTGACCTCCTGGCCTCGTGATCCACCCACCTCGGCCTCCCAAAGTGCTGCGATTACAGGTGTGAGCCACCGCACCCAGCCTATTTTAAAATTCATTTAGAAGTCCATATTAATCACATAAAAGTTCTCCCTAAACAGATGGGTAAATTAAGAATTTAATTTTTAAATGAATTGAAAATAAATGTAAGTGAAAGGTTAATACGTCTCATTAAAGGAACAAAAAGTATCTTTCTTTTCTTACACAAACACTTTTTCTAACTTTTGAAAAAAAATTCTTTTCAAGTTTTAATAGAACTTTCATATCAGAATTATGCACAGCTATGTGAACAAGATAAATTGATTTCAATGAAGCTGATGACCTCCCTGCAGATAACATAAATCATTATGTTAAGGAACAATCACCAAAATGTGTTTGCTTTTACACTAAATACAAAATTGCAATCAACATCAAAATCCAGATTGTAGGAAATTACATAGCACAAACAATCTGGTTTCTTCAGCAAATAAATTGAAAGGGGGGAAAAAAGAGAAAGATAATTTTTAAAAATTATTTTTAAAACTTACACAGGCAAAATTAAACTATAGGGGTACATGCTTTGGTGATAAAACTATGAACAAAAGCAAGAAAAGGATTACCATAAAAGTCAGAATAGTGTTTACAAATCTTAGGAGGACAAAAAGGGCTTGGGTTTGGGAATCAGCAAATAAACAGCTGGCCAAACTCTATTTTTTTTTTTTTAATTTGAGATGGAGTTTTGCTCTTGTTGCTTAGGCTGGAATGCAATGGCGCAATCTCGGTTCTCCAACCTCCGCCTCCCAGGTTCAAGGGATTCTCCTATCTCAGCCTCCTGAGTAGCTGGGATTACAGGTGCCTGCCACTACACCCAGCTAATTTTTGGTATTTTTAAGAGAGACGGAGTTTTGCCATGTGGCCAGGCTGGTCTCAAACTCCTGACCTCAGGTGATCCGCCCCTCTCGGCCTCCCAAAGTGCTGGTATTACAGGCATGAGCCACCACGCTCAGCCAAAGCTCTATTTCTTGAACTGAATGGTCAGCAATTCCTCCAGAATCTAGAACTAGAAATACGACTTGACCCCACAACTCCATTACTGGGCATATACCCAAAGGATTATAAATCTTTATACTATAAATACACATGCATGCATATGTTTATTGCAGCACTGTTCACAATAGCAAAGACTTGGAACCAACCCTAGTGCCCACGAATGATAGACTGGATAAAGAAAATGTAACACATATATACCATGGAACACTGTGCAGCCATGAAAAAAGATGAGTTCATGTATTTTGCAGGGACATGGATGAAGCTGGAAACCGTCATTCTCAGCAAACTAACACAGGAACAGAAAACCAAACACTGCATGTTCTCACTCATAAGTGAGAGTTGAACAATGAGAGCACATGGAAACAGAGAGGGGAACATCACACACCAGGGCCTGTCAGCAGGTGGGGAGTTAGGGGAGAGACAGCATTAGGAAAAATATCTAGTGTAGATGATGGGTTGATGGGTGCAGCAAACCACCATGGCACGTGTATACCTATGTAACAAACGCACGTTCTTCACATGTACCCCAGAACTTAAAGTATAATAATAATTTAAAAACTATTTGCCTTTAGTATTTCATCAACCCATATATTGTTTTATGTGAATTTCTGTGTCAGTGGTATACCTTACCACAGAAAAGGTTTAAAAATTTGTTTTTCCTGAAAAATGTATTCCTTTTACCAAAAGTGCAAAGACACCCAAGCACAGTTATTTATCGACTGGTTTCTAGTCATTGCTAAATTTGGAATAACACTTCAATTTTAAATTTGCATTTTTAGGATACACTCGGCCATTATCGTGCCAACTGACACAAAAAGTTCTTAGAGTTTAGCTTTGATTTCATATTTCCTTTCATTTACCTCAGTCAACTTTAAGAAAAAAACAAAAAACCTTACAGGGCCCTTAAGGAGAGCATTACGGGGTGGACTGTGTTCCCCCAAAATACATATGTTAAAGTCCTAACTCCTAGTACCTCAGAATATAACTGTATGTAAGGACAGGGTCTCTAAAGAGGTAATGAAGTTAAAACAAGGTTATTAGGGTGGGCCCTAGTTCAATAGGAACAATGTTCTCACAGGAAGAGATTAGGATGCAGATATACACAGAAGGAAGACCATGTGAAGACACAGGAAGAAAACCATGTACAAAGCAAGGAGAGAGACCTTGGACAAAACCAGCCCTGCCAATATCTCGCTCTTGGATTTCTAGCTTCCAGGATTGTGAGAACATAAATTTCTATTGTTAAAGCCACCCAGTCTGTGGTACTTTGTTTTGGTAGCCTTAGCAAACTAATATGGAAAGTAAAGGAAAAGGAAAAGTTTTAAGAGTTCCTTTTTAAAAAGGTACTGGAGGGAAGGAAAAAATATAAAATGTTACCACTTTGATTTATAAAGTATTAATGAGGCATTAATAAAAAAGAGAGATTGATATCAGATTTCATGTAAAAAGAAACATCCCAAAGAGCTAAGCACAGAGGTCAAGACAGGAGGGAACCAGCAGAGAAATAACTGGCTACTGACTTTGGATTGATGAGCAGGATTCAGCACTTTCAATGTGGTTCCTGAAAAAACCCAGAGGAGAATTTTGAGTTAGATTTTTAAATGGACTGGAAACAAATGGAAGTGACAGGTGAGATCAGAGTGGTTAAAGGGGTTAAAAAAAAAAAAAAAAAAACTCTGGCCCTTCGGTCTGGACAAAGTTTGTATTTATCGTTTGCCTGGTTTGATAGGCTTAGGGGGTTAGAAAAACCATCAACAAAGAAACTGAACTTCTCAGGTGGAAAAATCAGCAAAGATTGTGCAGCAGAGTCAGTGCTTCATGTGTTATGTATACTCATGGAGCCTTAAGATCCCAGAGTGGAGTGCACTTTGCTGACTAAGTACAAGTTTTCTGAAAAGGGATATTACCATAGACACAGCAGAGAGCTGTCTGCTGGGTCCACCCTCCACGCTCCTATTTGCATTTCATCATTCCACTGACAGACACAGATGGAAACAGATAGCAAATAGCCTGTTTCCTTTCCTCTTTAATTTAACAAGGGAATAAGAGATACTCTACATCTGAAAAACATTATCATACAAAATACAGAAGTGAAGCCAAGTGAACAGGGATGGGAATAAAAGGACCTGGAGATTCTACTCTGAGGTAATTTTTTTTCCCAACTATAAACAAAATGGCTCCATTCTCCCATGTTATATCCAGAAGAATCCTGATAACCTTTCTATAGGAAGGCAGTAATATAAATTAACCCACCTTTCAATTCACCAATCTTTAGTTTGGAATAACTTTCTGGAGGGACAGGCATAATTATTATATCTAGATAACTTATAAAAATTATCAGAATTTACGTCTTTATCAATTAGAAATACATAGGTATGTAGGATGAATTAACTGACAAAATGTCCTAATGTCTGGAATTTGCTTTAAAATACTACACACATACAAACACAAACACATACATAAAGTAAAAAGAGAAAAAAAGATTGTCAAAGTGTTGATAACTGTTGATGCTGGATGATGGGTAAGAGGGGGTTCATTACAGCATTCTTTTCACTTTGATATATGTTTAAACCTTTCCGTAATAAAAAGTCTTCTTTTAGTTCACATACATATGTAATTGAAAAACTCAATTCTCTTCAGATTGTGATTTGAATAGGACGATATCATTTATTTTGGTTACTGATAACAGTTTAGTTTCAATAAAAAGCTTTACTATAGTAATATAGGTACATAAAAAACTAAACAAAGGCTTTATGGGAAAATAACTTGGCAAATGTTTATAAAATGATACAGAAGCAAGCAGATACAATATTGTAGCTATATATACTATGTAAATGTATACGTATGTATACAAATGTGTGCATAAGATAAAAACCAATTAAAAGATATGTAGCAAAATGAAAGCAACATTTATCTCTTATTGATGAGTTTAAGAACAAGTTTTCCTTTTTTGTTCTACTTTTCTCGGCTTATAAGTATTCTAAAATGAGCATGTACCTAATTTGTAATTAGAAAAAGGAAATGAATGTGAACAAGTGGGATTATAATTCAGATAAAGTAGAATAGATAGTTGGAACACTATTCAGAAGAAAAAAAAACACTTGACCAAAAGTCACTACACTAAACATTGAGCAGAAAGAAGCCCTACACTTGGGTGGCTTTTGGTTTCATATGCTCTCATGTTACACCATCTGCAGATCTGGTGGAGAAAAACCCACATTCTTATACCTGTAGCTGGTGGAGGCTTTTATTTTTGTGTTAATATTTTCACAGCTTACCTGTCATAACCAATATCCTGAGATTTCTGTCTCCAAATATTTTTAACTCCCTGATCTCCCTGTAGATCTAATAATTTTACATTTTACTGGCAGGGATGTGGGGTAGGAGGGTGGGACTCTTTCACAACTGAAAGCAAAGGCACACACCAACCCTGGACCCAAGTTTTCACCTCTTGGTTCTCAGTGGTAACCTTAAAGGCAAATTTTAAAAACTATTTTCTGTGCCACAACCTAAGAAAGAATTATAGGTTGGTGTAAAAGTCATTGGGGTTTTTGCCATTAAAAGTAGTCACAAAAACCACAGTGACTTTTGCACCAACCTAATACTATAAAACGTAAGTTTAACAATTCCTACAGTATCCTAAAAATTCTTTTTCTGATAACTAAAGTTTTATTTTTTCCCAAGTGGGTAACAAAACTTCAAATGATAAAGTATTTTTAAAACCTTCAAAACTGTACATTAGAAGTATCATTAAAAATTAAAATCATAATCAGTAGTATTAAAATTTCCTCAACAAATTTCCCACAAGCAGGAAAATTGCACTTACTTTAACTTCCACAGTCTTGCCTCCATGTTCAATGTGTCTCTCTATGTATTCAGAGGACAGCAAATCACTGCAACAACAAAACGAAATGATGAAAATGTAAAACATGAAAATCAGGATCAAATTTACACGTATCTGCTTTAACAATTCTTAACCCCTCAAATCAACACTTTATAGTTCTCTCGTGTGCACTTTCTCTCTCTCTCTCTCTCACACACACACATACACACACACACAGCCCAGTGTTTCTAAAAGGACATGAGGTTGACCTGCCTACGCCCACCTGTCACTTCACTGCTGAGCATGGCTGATTCTGCTGAACCAGCCAATAGTTCTAGGAAACTACTGTATGTACATTATTATTTTTAAGACATCTTGTTCTTAATTTTTTACTTTAGCTTTTTATCAAGTAGTTTTAATTGTATATTGTGCCTTACCATTTCTTTATGTGTTATATGTGATATTTTTATCTGACAAAATGTTAGTTTCCATCACAAAAGTTAAAAAAGGCAAAGAAAGTTAAAAGAGATGAAATGGAATATATACCATCAGCATTTGAAAATAATTCTTTTTTGAAATCTATCCTAAACAACATTTATATGTTTCTATAATCTTAAATATGCTTTTCTTTAATTTCATATATGTGAAAAACTTTCCCTTTTAATGGAGGGGTCTCAAGACACAAATTCCATAAAATATCTGTAATATGTTAAAGCACTAAAATATAAATAAAACCATCATTAATAATTTTAAAATGTGTGAAACTATAAATTTCTAGTGTTCCTCTATTAATAAACATTGAGCCAACTAAAAAGTCCTTATGTGAACTGAAGGTCATCAAACAAAAACTGTTACAGTCATTTAAATATGTGAATTTTTGAGCACAGAGGCTCATCATGATAAGCACCATGCCTACAATTCCTTGAAATGGAAACAGAACCATCAAACAAGAATTACATTAATGCAGGCACCATAATCCTGCACTATCTGATGCTTTTATTACTATTTAGGAAACTTATCATTATAGTCTAAGTTGATGCTTCATTTGTCTTTAGAATAAATGTTCTTATTGATTTTACGTGAGAATCAGCTAGCATGCTCTCAGCTGCAAGCTGTAGAAAACACAACAAAAAGTATATTAAACAATCAGGACATTTACCATCGTATTTCTTCTTTGAAATTCCAGGGATAGTATAATTTTGAGGCTATTCAGTTCTAGTTGATAAATAAATTTGAGGTTTATAAAATATAGGCAACCAGTTTTAAAATATTTTTAGTATATATTTTGCTAGCAAGACATGAGCCGAATTCAGAGATACATAAAGTATAAGAAGAAGATTGTGTATGTGTTACACACTGACAGAAAGGGCTGCAAGATCAAGAAATGCCAATTACTCTTGAAGTATATGAGTAATAAATATTCACGATACATTAAATATACAAGAGGCACTAAATATCCAGGATACACTAAATATACATATGCTTTTAATATTAGTGAGGGGGTTTCTCAACTTCAACATAATTGATACTTTGGGCCAGATAATTATTTGTCTTGGGAGGCTGTCTTGTTCACTGTAGCACACTTAGCGTCTGGCTTCTACCTAATAGATGCCAGTAGAATCTCTTACACATACCAGTCATGACCATTAAAAATGTCTCCAGACATTGCTAAACATACACTGGGGGACAAAACCACCCTGGTTAAGAACAACTGCTGATACTCATTCCTGCCCCATTCGTTCTCTGTCCAATAAACACAACAGAACTCATGACTCTTTGTGAAGCTAACTGGCAAGCTGCAGCCACTGACCACACATACTTGTCCCATTGTCTCTCAGACACTTGAGCAGGTGTTATTAGCTTGGGACAACTGCTATCTTTGAGGCTTGCCCAAACCTCAACTCTGGTCCTTGTAACTATACCATCAGCAGGGAAGGCATATGCAGATGAATGAACACTATATTCCCCATGATTAGATGGCATGGCACCTCTGTCCTACTTGCACCTAACCCAGGTGTACCAACTTATCAATCTTTCCTCTTGCCTCTCACTGAGCACTTGAATTAATTTCGTGAATTATGTGATTTGAGGACTGGAATTTAGTCTGTGGGAGCTTTTAGTTCCCTCACCTCTAGTATAGTTTACCTGGTAGCATACTTGGAGGCTACCATTGCATCAAAGTAACTTCCCACCTGACATCAGGGCAGTTCCAGGGTTGGTTCGTGCAGTGGCTCACCACCATTAATGAGATGAAGGGTGTGTTCAACTTTCTGCTCTGCCATCAGCATGGTAGAGGGCTCTCTTAGCTGGCTCCTCTCATCACCCTGACATGATGGCTACAATTCTCAGCATCTTATGAAAAATACATTATTCCAAGATAAAAAAAGAAAAAAGCCTTGTATTTATTTTTAAAAGTGAACAAGCCCTTTCAAAAATAGCTCTTAGCATTCATCTTCTCAAGTACCTTTAGCCAGAATTACCTTATATGGCCACTCCTAAACCAATCCTTTGACAAAAACATTTGTCTTTGAACAATCAAGATTCTCCCACCATGCCTCCTTTGACCATCATGATTATTTAGAGACAAGTGAACAATATTGGTGGAAAGGAGAGTGGTGAAGAAAGTAACTGTTGTACATCCCACCGAAAATTGTCTTTTTTTCCCCCTTCATCATGAGTATATTATATATTTCACAAATTTCCAAGGACTTAAAAATGTGAAATTGCACAGGAAAGACCTGCCTCAGGCAAAACTGGTACTTGCTCCAGCATTTGCATCACACCCTGTTACCCCAAACAGGAGAGATACTAGCCAGGTGTTTGCAAAGGACTGTCCTCCAACCTTGCTATCAATCTGAAAAACTTCCCCAGTAGTAGGAAAGAAACATTATCATACAGAGGCATGTTTATCAGCAGAGCCAGCCAGCTTCCCTCTTTTGGGAATCTGAACTCTAAATCAGAAAAACAATCATTCAGCTGATGAAGGAAAGAGAAAGTCAAAAGTAAGCTGACACTTAAAAGAAACTGAGCTGTACAGTGGTGAATACCAGAGCGAAAGCCCCAAATCTCCTGCTGAAGTCCCTGAATGCAGAACAGCCTATCCCTGTACTAGACATCTTTGGGATCCTTGCTCTTTCACTCTCACACAAATCAAACCCACTGTTGGAGCCCGCGTGAGTGAAATTAAAATCACCTAAGTCAAATACTCTTCAGAGGAATACTAGCTGTGGTGTAGGAATAGTAGCAATAATAATAATAAAAAAATAAATTAAAAACTACTTTGGAATCTTCCAGGTTTTCAAATTTCAAGGGAACATTTCCCTTTGAATTATAAAATCTAGGCATTAAGAAAATATGAGTCACTGCACGAATGTAATTACAGCAAAGAAAAGCCCTCTGCTCAGGAATTATGCAGCTATTTCAATCAATCCTCTATATACAAGTATTGCTGGAAAGCACTCCATGTAATTTAAACCAAAAACAGCTCATGCAATTTGGTTTTGTTTGTTTGCATAATGTGAAAGTCTGCTAAATATTGTTATTTTAATGATTAGGGTGAGAAACCTTAAATTTAAAGTTTCACTTTTCCCTCTACTAAACCATAAAATCTTTACTACTATCAAGTTAGTACCTAAGTAAATTTTCTTGAAGCTTCCTGAAGTAGAGATAATCAAATTACCTTAAGTTATTTTCCTTAGAAACATCATCGTTTATCATTATGTAGGGATCTGCTTAAATCATTTTAAGTGTGGGGAAATGGAAGGTCTCCTTAACATAAAGGAAATTTTGCATTAATGTAAATGGATCAGGTAGAATTCAATCCATGCTAACAGCTTAATACTGAAGTGTGAATACTTGTTTGTGAACTTTGAAAAATAAAAGTAAATATCATTTTCAACCAAATTCTAAAGGCCATTTATTCTGCAAAGTAAGTAGATGTTTATAAAGTTAGAAATGTTTTGAGGCCTTTTTGTTATTTGTATGCCATAATAAGCCCAAAAAAGCAAAACAAATATAATGTAAACATTTTCAGTCATAATAATGATTATCCTTTGTCTAGTGGGCAATTGTCATGAATCAGAGACAGCTGGTATAGTATTATACAAAGGTTTGGGAGTCAAAAACAAAAATAAATATCTTAATTTTCCATCCAAGCTCTGCCATTTACTAGCTGTGTACCCTTGGCCAAGTTGCTTAATCTTGATCAACATAATTTGCTTCTGCCTAAAATGGAGAAAATAAAAAAAAAAAATCACTTCATAAAGCTGGTATGGTATTAAACCAGAACATAGATGAAAATGCATCCCAAATCCTGATTTGAATCATTCACATACCCTATTCATCACCTCATATTTATCTGTCTTTCTCCAGAACTCCCCCTCTCTCACTGTTTTGGGACTTTAACCACTGAGCCTATCTACCACTTTTTCACTCTCCTCACCTCCCTCTTGTCCACTTAATCCAGTTTATATTCTATGACCTGTCCTGATAAATCATCTCCCTGCACACACTCTAAACCAATTTACACCTCTCCCCACTGTACTTGCTTGACCAAACCTCAATCACAGTAAAACTCCTTCTACTAATCAAAGTCTCACTCCAAGAAGCAGAACATCTTGAATGATCACAGGCTGGTTATGATCGCAGTTGTCAAATGGTCCCTCATCACAACACTGTCCTTAAAAACACTACACTTTTCCGGTCAATCTACTCTGAGAAGACCCTTCCAAGGCTCTCTCCTCACATCTCCAACGTGCTCCCTCATTATTACTCCCTTCATATAACCTCACTTTTGTATTCGCTGAGAAAATGAAAACAGGGCTACCTCATCTTTCCAAGCTACCAGTACCCCTGTTTCTGAGCCAGTCTCTACTAGGATGTCAAACAGGCACCTCAAATTCAACATGTCTAATGCATAATTCTCTCAGTCAAATTCAAACATTCAATTCTACATTCAAAATGTATCCTAGTAATAACTTGAGAGTGAAAAAAAAAAAAAAACTGGGGACATCGCTTTAACCAAGTGATCACAGTTAACATCACCAATAATAGAAAAAAAACAAAATCACA